GTGTGTGTGTGTGTGTGTGTGTGTGTGTGCGTGTGTGTGTGTGTGTGAGGGAGAGAGATTTTTCTTTGGAATTGAATCATGCTTGTGTATTTATAGTTGTGTTCCTTGTGTGTGCGTGTGTGTGCATACATGTGTGTGTGTGTGCGCACGTGTGCATGTGTATGTGTGTGTGTGTTTGTGTGTGTGTGTGTGTGTGTTTTTATATGTGTAGAAACTAAAAAAAAAAAAAAGACGTTATTAGATTAACACAAAAGCTCAAAATTAACTTTCTGCAGTAAAACGTCAGTCCAGTAAAGACATTCAGGATTCACTGAATCATCACCAGTCATCTCGGCACCCCTCTGACCGGACACCGTCGCTGCCGAGAGAATCGGAGAGCCCGGCACATAAAATTGCCGCGGCCTTGAAAAGGAACAACAACAACAACAACAACTTCATGAAAACTCCGGACGCTGGCGTCGCTGGGTATGTTGCTGTTAGCTGTTGTCTTATTTTTTATTTTCGCATTGATGTGACGTTGTTGATGTTTTGTAGGTTATGCAGTTTTTTCCTTTTACTGGCTGTAGTATAATTGTTTATGTTGAATGTTTCTATGTAGCTGAAGACTATATTATATAAAAGCCTATATTGTAACAAGTGTAGCAAGCAACGCAACAAAATGAGTCAAATTTAGCATATTGGCAGAACAACACTAAAAGTGTCAAATTAACAATTTGTTCAGGCCTGACGAGTAGGTGATAATGAGTGCAGCTGCTCTTGTTCCAAAGTTATGGTCAAACGTAAGTGGGAAGTCAGAAATGCACTGTTTTGAGAAAATCAAGGTTTTTGCCTGGTATTTCGAAACGGCCAAGCGGGACAAACGGCTCATTTTGTTATGTTGTTTCTCATATTTTCACTTGTGTTGGAGGTAAGTTTCCTATTTCTTATCAGAAACAGTATGTCTGTTTGGCTGATTCTAATGCTCATTAAATGCAGTAACCTTTTTGTTTCATATTCTCATATATGCTGTTCTTCCTATTCCGTTCTGTAAATGTTAATTGTGTTGTATTAACTATAAATAGAAAAGAAAGAAAAATTGTACTCTTAGTAGCCCTTTGAGTTTGGAATCTGTAGTCAGCTAAAGAATTGTATTAAATTTGTGAAATATTTTTGTGGGCGCAGGCATCGCCTTGAACAATAGTATTTGTGCAGACACCTTCTTTCAGGGTTTGCTTCAGCTTGTTCTTGGTATGTAGAATATATCAGCTGCACATTTCTGGAAATTGTTTGCTTCTCTTGGAGTCATTCCCCACAAAAATGTAATTGTTATTTGCTTTGTGAATGAGGGGGTGATTAAAGTAATGCCAGTTTTGAATGAACCAACTTTATTTTCATTGTCCTGCTCTGATGATATGCGGTGCATCTTTGGAGGGAAATTTTGTGAAAAACAATAGAATGCAACTCAAAGTTCAATAATGGAAGAAGATATTTAGTGTTGGCTAACCACTTCCTTACCCTCTTCCCTTTTTTGTGCTTTTCATTTAAAATGTCTTATGCATGCACAAACTGGAAGAACATATTAGGTAAACTAATAATTTGCTTCGGTGAATTTTTGCTTGATATCTTGCTGCATTTTGTCGTTGTTACATATGAGTGTAATAGAATCTGTTTTGATACCGCAAATAGTTCTTAATGACTAGATTCTAGTGTATAATCATAGAGAGAATTCTTCACACAGTATACCTTTCATCTCCTCAGAACACATCTGAGGCAGTAAGTGTTGTGTGTCCACTAACAGTATTTACTTTGTAGTCTTTGGTTGCGCTGGTCAGTAGTGAATTCGAGTTGCACCAACAATCTCTGTCCTTCACCTGAGTGATATTAACTGTTGGCGAATCTTTGTCAATGTCTTTTGGCGGAACTAGTCTTGACATTTATTAGGTAAGCAGTCAAGAAATAGTGTTTGCTTTTTCTGCTTTGCTTTCTTTCTCATTAAGAGTCTTTGGTGTGGGCACTTTTGCTGATGGTATAGTAAATTAAACAATGTTGAAATATTTGTTTGTGACAGGTCAAGATGTAAGAGTTTCAAATAATATTAGTGATGAGTTTGATTGTTACCTTTTCCAAGAGACTGATTGTAAAATGATTTGTTTTGGTAACAATTAAGACAGATATCATGTGCTGCGAATTTCACATGAAGCTATTGTTCCGAACAGCTCTGACGTTTTCATTCATACAAAAATCTCTTCAGCATCATCTACTAGGTGGCATGTCTCCTTTAAAGCATTGTCTGCTTGACAGCCCCTCTGAAAACACTTCCTTCCCGTGCTATGTGTCGAGCAGTGACACTTCCCTTCTGTTGTTCAGTAATGTCTTGACCACATCAACTTGTTGGGCAACCTTTTTCATGTTTTTTCAGGAAATTTTCCATTAAAAAAATATATATATTAAACATTATTTCACATAGTTTTGTGACTGGAAGTATTTCCACATCTTTATTCTGATTCTATCGAGGAGTCGATTTGTCTATAGTTTTGATACTTTCACAGTTGAGTAGTTATTGTCTTTTGAATCTAGTCTATGACATGTTTCAGCTTCTCATGGATGAATTATTTAACTGTTAAAAATGTGGCACTGTGTTCTTTAGAAGTTATTTTCCAGGTTCCCATAGTCTCTCTAATTTTAATGACAATTGACATTTTCTTAATGTTTCTGTACAAGGTAAGAGAGCAGTTTAACACTGTGCTGCTGTTTAGCTGCATCGATTGATGTCTCTGAGTATTCTGAGGTGTTATATTAACTTTTTTTTTACTGTGGAGGCTCAGTGGTGGAACGGTGTAGGGTGTCGGCTTTTGCAAGCACACCTGACGTTGCAGTGGAGGGAATGAGTTAAACTGCAATCCATTTTTTTTCCTAGGATGATTTATTTGATATCAATGTTTTCCGTGACATGAGCACTTTAATGTGGGTGATCAAAATTTGGGTAAAATTAGAATGTACACTGTACTATGGAAAAAAGACTGTAAATGCCTGGCAGAAAGTGAACAAAGAGTCGTAACTGTGGAAAAAGCTGTCTGCTGAGTCACTGGGTTTTTTTTCATTCTTTCCTCATATCTGAAGGCTTTAAGTTTTGAACATGTGAGACTGTGGTCCTTGATCTTTTCCAACATCATGATTAACATTTTCATCATTATCAATACCTTTTTTGAACACTGATTTAATCAGTGATAAACTGTATTGTTCGTGAAGCTTTGCTTTTTTAAAAAAGGCCTGATAGTACAAAGTCAGATGAAAAGTAATACCATACAAACATGCATCTACAGAAATACTAACACAGTTGAACTTTTCATAGAAGAAATACTTTTCTTTCTAAAACTTTCTTTACAAAATTAAGTTACAAAATTCCCACTTGATTGATCTAACGTTGCAGAAGCTATAATTGTTCACGGTAGACTATGTAGGGTTGTAACTACAAAATGTTATCCCTCCTGAGCCATGGTGTTGATGGTGTGGTGTTTTGGATAGTCTTGCAACATTCTTCATGTGTGTGTGTGTGTGTGTGTGTGTGTGTGTGTGTGTGTGTGTGTGTGTGTGTGTGTGTGTATGTGTCTGTCTGTCTGTCTGTCGATTGTTAGCATGCTGACAAGACACGCTGCTTGTATTTGAAAATCTCAGCACCAGAGTTGTGGGTCTTTGTGAAATTTCTTCTTATTGCACATTTTATTTTATTTTGATTTTAAAACTTTGTTAAATCTTCGTCGGAGGTCCTGCCTCTTAAATAACATAATAGTGCTGACATGGAAGTTAAACCCTGTACCATTCCACATTTTAAAATCCTCATAGCACGAGACAGTAAATTGACTGAAATAAATGTGTTTTTCCCTCTGCTTTCCACTCAGCATATTGATTGATTATTGGGGCCATTGGTTACTGGGATTTGCTTCTTTCTGGTTCTGACTTCGAACTTTTGATCTCTGCTACTTCATGTCATTTTCCTATGTTTGTTGCAAAGAGTGTGTTTGACTGGCAGTGTCTGTTGTTAATCAGGGAGAAAATGCTTTTGACTCATAAACTGTGTTTTGTGGTTGGGCGCCAGAGAAGCTGCAGAATGTGGTCGCAGAATTGTCTGATATTGTATTTGTTTTATGCTGCTGCTTGCTGGGAAGAACCTTACAAAAAATGTTGTGGGTGGTTGGAGGGCTCCATTGGTAGACCCTACTTCTTTACTTTCCTTCTGTTGTTTCAGTCTGTCTGTCTGTCTTATTTTCCCCCCAGCACTAATGACCATCATTGTGTGGATGTGCTTCTCTTTCTTCAAACTCAAACAAACAAGCAAAACATGTTTGAGGTGGTAGTTTTATCTATCTGATATGTATTCTGGTGTTTTTGTCAAGTTGACTAAACAACCTTCTAAGGGGTTTTGTGATGAAACTTTTCACTTGTTTCCACTACCTCTGTGATATCGTTGTCTGTGCTGGTACTTTGATGGCATGTTGTGGGGGTACGGTGTGTGAGTAGTCTGAACTGCTAGTAGTACACTGGCCTGTTTTTGAAAAAAGATGCCTGTTGGTTTGGAAAAGAATTTGTGAACTGATTTTGCACTGAGGGAATAACTATCAAAAACTTTATTTCGACTCCTTAATATACTTGTTTTAAAACCAAGAATTGTTACAGATCCACTTTGGTATTACTATGCAAGATTTAAAAATATCTTCTCTAACTTTGGAAAAATTATGTATATAAGTTGCAATAACTTTATATAGACTAATATTATGTTGAAAGAAACGTTCTAACTTCCCTTTTGACCGAGGTTGTTCCTTCTCATGGGTCCTGAAACATTTCACATTTTGGTATTATTTAAGAAACTGAAGTGGTTTGTCTGTGAACTTCGAATCAAAGGGGCTCAAGAAATGATTTGGTGAATAATTTTTAAAGTGTCTTTGCATCGCCAATTTCAGTGCTCTAGGCATGCAAATCTTTCTTATGTATAGTTAATTTTTGTTTCTCGCTTTTTGCAAACAGTAATTTTATAGGGTGCCATATTTTTACGGGACGTATTCACATAAAGGCTTCTGGGAGCAAGGTCTGTTAGAACAATTAAGATTTTATTTCTTTCCACAGCTTTTTATGTCATACATTTTGCTGAAATTGGTGCCAAAGACACCATCATCAAACTCATGACGTCATATCAACCTGTTTGTGAAAATGTAGCTGATAAAAAAAAAGGAAAGCTGAGAAATTTGTACTAGGTCTGTCTTAGAGCTCTGATTTTCTACTTTTTAAAATGTTGAATGTTGACATTTGAATGGCTTGATTAGTAGTCTGTATCACCTACTTAAGTTGAAATGTGAAAATTTGTTTTATATATTGGTAATGCTAATGACTTTGTTCTCTTTTTCTGCGCCCCCCCCCCCTCCCTTTTTGTGTTCTGTGTGTATTTGTCTGTGTGTCTTTGTGCATTTGTGTTTGTTTGTCATGTGTGCATTTGTGTATGTTTGTTTATGTTTATGTGTGGCCCTGTTCCTGTGCATTTATGTGTCTGTCTGTCTGTCTGTCTGCCTGTCTGTCTGTCGGTCTGTGTGTATACAGGGCCCAGCGACAGAGCCTGGCCCGCCCACTGCCTGGTGGCGGTCGACCACGGCCAGCTGCCAAGCCCAAGCCCACTCCGCGTCCCCAGCTGCCACAGTGCCGCTGTCTGTACGCCTACGATGCTCAGGATACTGACGAACTCAGCTTCAATGAAGGGGACATCATTGACATTATCAAAGAAGGTAAGTGGGAGGTTGGCGTGTGCTCTGGTGTGGTTTGCTTCTTCTTTCCTAATAAACATCTATCGTC